CTAGGTCAGTGTCTTACACTGGTAGAATTATGAATATTCAAAGCAGAATATAGATGATCTTTTCTCTCATAAGGAGAACACGTAGCAGTGCATAAAGGATGACTTGCAGAAGCCACTGTGTGTGGACTGGCACATAGGAGACATTGACCGAAAGAGTTGTTTCTATATTGTCTGCGTTCTGACTAAAGGAAATGAAAGGGGGTCATAGGTTTAATAAAGCTGTTACATCCAGAAGAAGGATGGCAAGCAGGAGAAGTGAAAATTAACAAGCCTCATAATGAACTGCAACTTTATGAGAAGATGGACTGATGACAGTATAATGCATAAATCATTTTAAAAGGAAGAACACATCACTCAGTGTCCCATTGAAATAGAAGGTTCAGTAAGTGCATGTACTAAAATTTAATCTGACAAAAAATAAGGGAGGTTTATATTATAAACCTTGGAACAAATTAATCCATGAGAGATAACTGAAGTTAGCCTGCATTTATTAATTTAACAATTTGTATCCTTGTGACAAGGGAGACACCTGGGACTTGCTGCACAATGAATAATTAGTTTATTGGAACTCTCAACTGGCTACAAGCGTTGAAACAGCTCAGGTCAAGCGGTGATAAATAATTTAAAGAAACCAGTGTAAGTTAGGTGTCACTTTAATTTTACACTAACAGATCCGTTAGATGCTAACCTTGTCAGACAGATAATTGCTAAATGAGATCATACTTTTGTACCCTTGCTTCATAATATCATTTGCTTACTCATGCATTTTGTGCAAACCTTGATGTTGGCACTGACAGTGTTTCACATGTCCATTGATTCAGACTAGCAAATGTTGTACTGACCTTTAAAATAAATGGTAAGTATGCCAATTTCTATTTTTAGCAACTCTGAAAATGTGCTGAGTGTTACTTCAGAACTGGCAAGGAGAAGGAAAATCCAGTCTTGGAATTCCAAAATAATTTTGTGTGCACAGTTCCACATGTCAGCATATCTCTGGTAGAAATGACGGTATATCTGGCATGTAAATATTAACAGGTGAAAGTATTCTGCCTGAAATTGTTATGAGGAATAAGGGCATTTCAAGATTATTTTATTTGGTGAACTCTGAGCTCTATGCTGACAGCATAAGATCTTGGAGAATTACTATGGTAGAAACAAGAGAATTCCAAATCTTAATAATTGTTTAATTTTGAAATCCAGATAAACTACATTCATTTTGTAACAGTAAAGAGTATCTCAAAAATAGCTTGTAACCAACTTTGGATGTTCCTTGTAGTTAAACTCTCACTGGAGATTTACAGATGAGTTATATTTGAAAGGGAAAATCTTGGGACTGAACAGAGTTTGCAGTTTTTAGGACTTCATTTTGAACCCAGCCATGTTCCCATTAAATCAATGGAAACACGACTGTGTTCAAAATGACCCTTACCATCGCTTCATTGATGCTAATGAGTTACAGCCATTGACTTCTAAAGAAACTAACTGGTTTTATTAAAGCTTAATTCCACAGAGCCTTGCACAGTAATGCAGATCTCTATAAAGAGAACATAAAATGCTACCAAATGAAAACGCTACATTCTCTGTGTCAGGACACTTGGCCTCTGCTGAGTAGCAGGTCAAGGGAGGAGATTCTCCTCCTCTAATCTGCTCTTGTGAGCTTTCAGCTCTGGGGCTGCCAGCACAAGAGGGACATGCTGGACTCAAGCGAGTCCAGAGAAGGGTCATGAAGATGCTCAGAGGGCTGGAGCACCTTTCCTGTGAAAAAAGGTTGAGAGAGTTGGGCTTGTTCAGCCTGGAGAAAAGAAGGCTCCAAGGAGACCTTAGAGCAGCTTCTAGTACCTAAAGGGAGCTTATAAGAGATCTGGAGAGTGACTTTTTTCAGGGGCATGTAGTGACAGGACAAGGGGGAATGGCTTTAAACTGACAGAGGGGATATTAAGATTGTGTATTATTAAGAAATTCTTCCCTGTGAGGGTGGGGAGGCACTGGAATGGGTTGCCTAGAGAAGATGTGTTCAAGGCCAGGCTGGACAGAGCTTTGAGCAACCTGGTCTAGTGAAGGTGTCTCTGCCCATGGCAGGAGGTTGGAACTGGATGTGGTTTAAGGTCCCTTCAAACCCAAACCATTCTATGATCATTAGACACACGTTCATTGTGGAGACTCCAACTGCTATTCAAGCTAGAGCCATGTTCCCTTACAGCTTGGTATGTGACTACACACCCTGTATGTAATTGGGAAGAACTGGGTGGTGGTTGGATGTGCAATGGTTGTGATGTAGAGCATGGTCCACAAACTATCATTGGGAGTATTAAAATTCATGAATAAAAGCTTGTCTTTGAAACCTGCATTACACATTAACTCATATGGGTCTTCAAGTACTTTTTGCTAGTTTCAGAAAAAGGAGTGCTTTCTGAAAGTCAAGTTTTAAATTAAACCTCATTAAATATATTTTTACTTCTCCTGTACATCCTTTCTGTCCAATAAAAAACATTTTTGACAGTCTTCACGAATCAGTTACGATCTTGAGTAAATTTCAATAAATAAATAAGAATTTTAAATATAGCTGAAATGCAATTTATCTGTTTAGCAAATTTAGCTCTGATCTTTTCATGGAGATGGAGCTACAGTGTCATTTATGTCTTTAATAAGAAAATCTTAAATTCTAATAGCATATCTGTATCTAAAAGCATTATAAGAGATAGTTCAGTCAAAATGTTTTAGCAGTGCTTTTATTCCAGATACAAATTTACCCTCAGAAGCCTTGCTAGTGCTATTCTGTTACTGAAACAAGGCTATATTTAATGTTCCTGCTTTAGGTGGGTTTTGTTTTTTGGTTTGTTTTTTGTGGTTGTTTGTTAGGTAATGAATAGGCTGAGGTGAGAACAAAGTGCTCCTGTATCTTCCATGTATAAATACTTACATTTCTCTGGGATAGGCTCCCTGTCACCCAGTAAAAGACTGAGGTTAAAAGGTAACCTCATTAAGTTCACACTTGGGAGGAGGCATGGGGAGTCTGAAAACAGGGGAGCATGGTGGTGGGCAAAGCAAAGAAAGTCAGGTCTCCCTAGGGAGAAGACGGATGCTCCGCTGCTCCTGGTGGCAATATGGTGATTTTCCAAGACAAAAATGCTGTTCTTCACTTTGGTAGGAGTGAGTGGGTGCACACCTCTTGTCATTATATGAAGAATACTGAGTAGTTTCATTTGACACCAGACTCTGCATTTTTTGCAGTTTCACCGTGTAACCTATGGCTTTCTCCTTAGAAAATCTCACTGAAGATAAAAATGCATCTCTTTTGATGTCTTTGCAAGACACAAGAATTTGCTGCTCTCAGACTTTCACCAATGTAAAACCTTAACAGTGCTGTGGGACTGTGGAAATGTGTATGTGTGTGCTGTATGTTCGTGTGCTTGACACTGGGTGGTGCATGCCCTTGATTGTCTGGCAGCAACTTCTGGAACATTTCACAACATTCTTTTTTTTAGACTAATTTTTGGTAATTTCTGTTATTTCTGGCAAGCTTTAATGGGAGCTGATATTCTGTTCCAAGAGCCCAAATACTCTAACTTTCTATTTAAAGATCTTCAGCTTAAAGTACATTCGTGCAACTGTTTTTTTTCCAAGTTCTAAAGTTAAATGGTCCCATGGGAAGGCTATACTCTTCTGTTACCAGCCTTCCAGAGGTGAAGTTGTCTTTAGAGTTAAGTAAGAAAGTTGCTTTAGCACTGTCAGATATCTAATTAATCCCTCAGTAAATAAAGGCATTCTGTAATTAAATAACCGAGATGTGCAATCAGTTCCAACATGAAATGCTTTGCATATTAATGTACTATTATCCAGGAGCTAGACAAGGCTTGTATTTGGATATGAAGTGTAACAGACATTTAAAAACACAGAGAACTCACCACAGACAAAACAGTGGGCTGTGGTTTTTTTTGACAAATCTCAGCTGTGATCCGTAAGCTGAATGTCACTGTGAGAGTGGTGAGGCACAGGGTGCCCGGACTTGTGGCTGCTCCATCCCTGGCAGTGTCCAAGGCCAGGTTGGACGGGGCTTGGAACAACCTGGTCTAGTGGAAGGCATCCCTGCCTGTGGCAGAGGGGCTGGAACTGGCTGAGCTTTAAGGTCCCGTTGCACCCAAACCATTCTATGATTCTGTGAAGTCAGTAAACAGCACAGTTTCAGACAGAGGACTGTGGTAAATATGTTAAGGGGTGTGAAAAAACAACTTTTGAAAACTGAATAAATCAACTTTTGGGACTTTAATAAAGGGGAATTGATGTTACTGCCTCAGGGAGATAGCGTTCTGCAAAGAACACTGCGACTCCGTGCTTTGAAGACCGCAAGAACCAACAGCACTGCAGGTCATTGAATCTACAATTAATTAGCTGTGTAGTCATTACGTTGTCCAGTCCAGTTATATGGAAAACACTGGGGTCATAAGCACGGGCTTGGAACTGCAGACAGTACAAACACGCACACAAACCCCAAGCCCAAATAACGGGATATTACTGAGTTTAAAATCAAAAAGCACACATTACTTATTTCGGTGGCCTCGACGAACCGCACACGGGCCTGAAGGGGCGCGAAGCACCGGCAGGGGCCGGCCGGCCGGCCAGCGCCGCGCAACCCCTCCCGCGCCGCTTTGCGGCGATCCTTGACAGGAGCCCCGCTCACCTGGCGGAGCCCCCTCCTTAATCTCATTGGCTGCCTTTCGCTCCGCCCCCGGCTCCTCATTCGCTGCTGCTGCGCCTCTGCCCCTCCCCCCCCCTCCCCCGTCACCCGCGCGCGATCCCTCTCCGTCCGATACCTGGAGGGGAGCGAGGAGCGACTCCCACCACCCCCGTTCACTCGCCGCACGCACTCATTGGCGGCGGATCCGGCGTGCTAGGCCCGGCCATTGGCTGCTCAAGCGGCCGGCTTTGCCCCGATTGGCTGGCGGGCGGGGGCCGAGCGGTGTGTTTGGGCTGGAGTTGCCGGCGGAGCGGACTCTGCGCGTGTAGGGCTCGGCGCGAGGCGGTCCTGCTCGGCGGGTGCCGGTTCCCGTCAGCCGAGGGGAGCGGGATGGCCGCCTCGGGCAGGCTGCGGCGCGGCGCGCTGCGCTGAGGGGAGCGGAGCCCGGCCCAGCCGCAGCTGCCTGCCACGACCATGCCGTCAGGAAGGGAGCCGGGAGACCCTCGGCTGCGGGATCCGAGCGGGGCGGCCGCCCTGTCAGCGCCCGGCAGCGCCTGATCCCGCGCCGCGCTGCCCCCCGCGCACCGCCATGGACGAGCGCTTCAACAGGTGGCTGCTGCCGCCGCTGCTGGCGCTGCTCTTCTTGCTCATCGTCTACCAGTATGTGTCGCCCGCCTGCCCCGGTGCCGCCTGCGCCCGCCGCCCGCCGGCCTCCGCCGCCCGCCGTGGGGGGGGCCCGGCGGAGCGAGAGGAGGGGGAGGCGGCAGCGGGTAACGCGGAGGAAGAGGAGGCGGCGGAGGCAGCGGCGGCCCTGCCGCGGCTGGTGGCCAAGTTCGCTTTCGCGCGGGGGGAGCTGTGTCGGCGCGTGCGGTTCGACATGCGGGGACGAGACGTAATCGTCTTCCTCCACATCCAGAAGACAGGCGGCACCACCTTCGGGAGGCATCTGGTGCGCAACATCCGCCTGGAGCAGCCCTGCTACTGCCGCGCCGGGCAAAAGAAGTGCGCCTGCCACCGCCCGGGCGGCGACAAGGACACGTGGCTCTTCTCCCGCTTTTCCACCGGCTGGAGCTGCGGGCTGCACGCCGACTGGACCGAGCTCACCAGCTGCGTGCCTGCCGCCATGGAGCGCCGCGGCTGCGCCGGCAACCGCACCCTCAGGTAAGTGCCGGCCGCGGAGCTCGGCGGCTGTGAGGAGCGGTCGGGAGAAATGAATGAATAAGTGATGGTTAAAAAAGCCTATCTCCCAGAGAAGGGTCTAGTTTGGGCTGTTTCCCGCCCTGTTAACTGTAATGCGCTCGCTTCGCCTGAAACTTGTGCTGATTCCACCCATACGCCTTTTGCACCGGGTAGCGCGAGAGAAACTCTGCTGGGGCTTATTATGCAAGTTTCTCCTGTCTGTATGTTGTTCGGAAACTTGTTTTTAACAAAGCGTTACACTCTTCTGCATAAGAAGAGTGCCTCTGCAGAATCTAGTGGATGGCTGCAGCTGCCTGTGTGGTATAATAGCGGAGTCTGAACTGTCCGGAAGCCCTTAAACTCTCTTTCCCTGTGTTTCTTGTTGGCAGATAGGCTGGTTTTCTGCTTGCTGCTGTGTACTGATAGCTCGCTGTATGTGAGAGCTGAGAGTCAGGAGGCGATGTGTGCTCAGGCTTTGAGCAGGGAGCGCAGTATTAGGGAAAAAATAACACTGTTCTGTTGATGATGTGACGACAGGGGAAAACTTCTGAATGTCATGTGCATGCTGCCTCTCTGCGTTTATCTTGTATTGTGCTTGTGTTTCGCAAAAGGTCTTGTCGGTGGAAATGTGGAAATTGTGGAAACTGCGGAAGTGGAAAGGTTGTCAGATGGGTAATCTCGGTACGAGATAGCTCTAGGTGATTCAGTAAATTTTGGGGTTTGTTCTGATTTATTTGCCATTAAAGCAGATGTTCAGGCTAATATTAGATCCTCTCTATCTGTATGATAGATTTTGACTGTGTGTAGTGAGAAGTTATGAGTTGAATTCTCGTTTAAACCTTTGCAATGCAATGATACGACTGTAACTTCAACAGCTGGAAAATTGTTAGGAAAACCAGTTGGTTTTGGTTTTGCTTTGTTTTTTTTTTTTTGTGTTATAGTTTCCAGATAACTTACTCTTCGCTGTCCATCTTAATTGCATGATTTGGCAAAGTTTAACTTTTCATTCAGTAGGACCACTCATACGTGTTTGTGCCTTGTAATTTAAGAACACACACAGTCCATGACGTACATGGACTCATGTTAACAGGGTCTGTTCATCAAGATGATAAAATTGATTGTTGTGGCAATTCGAAGGTTATTTAACATGAACCTTTCTTCGTTCCCTCTCATATAGCAAAGCTAGTCCCATTAGCATGACTCCAGTCAGTATAATTTGAATTTGTCATTGATGGTTGTGGGCTTGGACTGTACTTGCAGAATACTGTTAAGGTAGTTCACACAATTTTGTGTAAAATGTTTAGCTGGAGATAAGTGTACATATTGGTGTGCTAATGGAAGAGAGATGCTGTGAATGTCTTGAAACACAAAATCACTTGGTGTTAACTGTACAGCTTTAAGGAGTAATCAGTAAACTTGTAATGTTAACCAGGGACATAAGAAGGAAGAGTAATATTCATGGAAGTGTCTGAAAATACATAATTTGCCACTGAAGTCCTTTTTCCTCTCTTGTGAAAAATATTAGGAAGAAAATAACAGTGTTAAATGGAATTGCAAAGTTCACAAGTAGGCATTAAAAGTGGAGTAGTGGTCTCAGTGCTCTTAAATAAAAACATCATTATGTGAACTAAACTTAAAACTTTGAATTGAATTACAAAGCAGGTCATAGTGACTGGTGGATAATTACTGATTTTTTGATTGAAGGCAGAAATGTGACATTTCGCCATCACAACTTGGTACTGCTTTCTTAAACATTTGTTTAGTTAGTGAATGATTTGGTTAGTGTGACATTGCACTTCTTGGTTATTGATTCAGAGAAAACTTCCCTTTGTCTCATTGGTCTTTATGTAAGTGAGGAAAGTGCTATGAATAATTATTTGTTGCATTGTTTTATTACCCATTGCTTCTTGTATTACCTTTTCACTTTCCCCTTTATTTTCTCTTAATAATAATGTAGCTTGACTTAAGCTTTTCAAGGAGCTGTAAAATGAATCAGATAACCCCAAAGTACGGTTTGTCTCTGCTGTGAATATCTTTGCTTCTGGTAAAGTTGGCGTCAAGCCTAAACTACTCTTCTGGAGTACTGTACTATTAGAGGCATGCATCTAAGCCTTTTTTTTTAAATGTTTGAACTGAGAATTGAGAATGAGAAGACTATATGTCGAAAATAGGCAAGAAACTAGCATATGTGTCTAACGTAAAACGTACTGATTATTTTTAAGTCATCCTTTAAAGCTTCTGAATGTATTTGAGACATTAGCATTCATTGAATAGCTCAACATTTCTACTTTCCAGCTGTGGAGTCAGAAAATAAGGCTAAATTGGTTAAATATCTGACAATGAGTTTTTTCTGAGCAGGACATGCTACGTTATGAATTTGGTGCCAAGGTATTAGATCTCTTGTGCCATGTATTTGATGAAGTGAAGATGCTGTTAAGTGTATTTTGGATTATTTTTTGTTTCTCCTCATAGCAGGAGAAGCAAAAAATCTGGATTTTCTTCAGATCTCTGTTTATGTAGCCTGTCTTTTGCTACATAGAGGAAATAAGGGAAAATTTGCTTCTTACATGGCTGGTAATAGAGTAATGCAAGTAAAAAAATTAAACAAGTGGCTCTCAGAAGTATTTTCTTTGCTATTTTGTTGTGAACAAGTTAGATTAAGTCCTGCCTTTTAATGCAGATCTTTAGAAGAGTTCACGAAGAAACTAGAATTCAGGGGGGAAGGGGTTAGCTGGCAGGGAAAGGAGGGAGTGGATGATTCTCCCAAGGGTCTTAGAAGGTATGTGAAGCACTACTTTACCTCACCTCACCCTGAGGGTCTTTGTCTTTCATGGACAGTGTGTTTAAAGATGTTCTACTTCTGAAATCTCCTCAGGGTTTTAGAGAGACTTCATCCCATTTTTTGTGTTTCTGATGTTGGTGTCTTGAAATCTCAGGTCCCAGGAAACAATGTGGGAGAAATTGCTGCTGTGCCCCAGCAATTTGAACTTCTTAAAGCCCAAGCGCCAGTTCTGACTTAGGTCTCACTGGACCTTTACCTCTGCCTGAGTGAATGGTATGAAGTGTTCTCTGTGCTCTCATCCCACCTTAGGTACTTCAGTAGGAAAATTTGTTTGTCAATGTGTTGGATGCTGTTGTGAAGTTGTAGAACTCTCTTTCTTGGTGAGAATCAAAGTTACCCTTTTGAATGTCATTACTTAAAAAAAAACCAACAAAACAAAACCAGCAATCAAACCAACAATTTTAGACTTTATTTCTTCAAACACTTGCATGTTTTAATTTTCAGGATGCAAGATGTTCTGCTGAAATACCTGCTAAAGTGTTTACAGAGCCAGGCTATTAACTTTTCATACTGACTTATGGCTTTCACTTTTACAGGAGTTCCTGTCTGGATAGTGAGGACATGGGGAAGGGCATGCAGCTGATGCAGTTTTAAATTAAATTCTTACTAGCACAGTTTCAGCTCATCATTTCAGATAATTACTGTTATCCAAGCAGTGGGACTTTTCCCATGAAGATGCAGTCAGGTTCACTTGGAAGTTCTTGCATCAGTAGGATAGCCCTCCATAACATTTAACAACAGAGTTACTGCTATGCACTGTGTCTACAACTTGGGTTATTTACTTTGCCTCACAAAAATGGCTGCTACAAAAAAAAGTAACTGAAACTGGGGTGTAATCCTTTTTTAAAGGAACAGTCTTTTGTGCGTTTGCTTTGCCCTCTCAAAGTCATTGAGGTTGATGATGCTTGTGTCTAGCTCCACCTCTGGAACTTGGCTTTCCTTCTGAGGTGCCAAGAAGCTGAGACTGAGGAGCCTTAGCCAACATTGCTTGAGGAAAGAAAGGGAAAAGAAATGTTGTTAGATGTCTAACCTGGGATGTGGGGAAGAGTTGGTCTCAAGTCTGAGGAAGTGACATTAGGCCAGTTCGGTAGACAGTGGGAAGAAACAGAGTAATATGAGCAGCCATTTGGGGGGGTCTAAGGTATGTCCAAAACCTGCTGAACTGTCTTCTGGGGGTGCATTTCTTCCTTTCACTGATTGCAAGGGATGATTGGAAAGGCTAATGTGGGCTTGCTGTCTAAAACTAGATGAGAAGAATTCAATGTCTGATGTTGCAGAGATGTTGTCTGTCTGTTAGGTTACCAGGTAAAATTTGGTGTGTGAGACAGGGCTGGCTTTGCCTCTCTACTGTATGTGTGAGGGATTGAGAGGGGATCTTAGAAGTCCTAATCAAGGCACACTTTTCTCCCTTGCCGGTGTGCCTGCAATATAATTAATAATTATTCATTATTATTTATTACAAGTTTGATTAAACCAGGAAGGTTATCTTTTAAACTACACACTTGAGAGAACACTGCATTGAAAGTGTTGTCTAATTTTCTTATTTGAAAATGGTGAAATCAGACTAATTCTGTAAACCTCATGAGCTTTATTATCAGTGCACTTTAGTCTTTGAAACTATTGATTTTCATTAATTTGCTCCCATTATACTCTCCATTTCCTCATGTCTGCTTAACTTACTGTGTGCTCTGTTATTCTATAGGAGTATAAATCAGCAGTAAACCCATGAGTCATGGAATTGGGAGAGTTGAATAGAAACTATTAGTAGGATTTCTTTCTTCTTATGCAATCCTTTGTTTGACTATTGAGTGTTTTTTAAAGCTCTAGCAATAACAGAGGGTAAAATGGACTCTTGTTTTTTGCAGCCCTGGTAACTATGGTCATCATAAACATGGAAGAGGGTTAATTGAAAATTAAGACTCTGCTGGAGGTAGGGGGAGAAGAGAATAAGTTTAAACAAAAACAACAACAACAAAAACCAACAACAACAAAAAAAAAACCCCAAAAAACCCACAAAAACCAAAACAACTAGAAAGCCCAACACATTCTCTAGAACTTGAAACCATTCCTAGTGATACACCTATAACTTATCTAGGATACCTTAGTATCCTCTACTGAAATGAATGTTAGAGCCAGTGAG